ATATTAAAGTCGTTGCTGTGGGCTTTCTAAAATAGCAGCCACACTCGGCACACATTATATAACGGTTAGATCAAGTGTTGGCATGACGAAGATAGTCCTAAATGTTTAGTTTCACATACGTAGTAATTACTGTAAGTCTGTGATGCTTCATGGTGGCATTGCAACATAACCAGTTCCCCCGCTAGTCTAGGTGAGCGAACACATTGGAAACCTGTTCTATCTTACCTTGCTTGGGAGCACTGGCACTGGCCCTGGCATGCTTCGGAGAGGTGTGCTTCAGCAGGTTCCAGTTCATGCACGAGCACAAGCACACGGGTACACAACGATGACAGCTATTATTATAGAGAAATCCGGAGTGTTCTGGATGTATCTGACTAACATGACTAACATGTCAGCAAAGTAGCTGTCATGTTCTCTGTGTTGTTCTCCGATGTGCAGACGCGGACTCGACTGCGCGTCCCTTTTTACATTTTTTTTCTCGAGTCCGCCTGATTGTAAACTGAGCATACTTCATAATAACACAAAGCTATGCATGTGCTGTATTACGATGTTCTGTACAAGAGATAACCGTGCTTAGGCCCGGTTTGTCTTGGAGCAGTGTGAGTGCAGGCCAGTGGGGGAATGGGAAGAGTGGGGGGGCAATCATGCCTAAGCCTGGTACGGGACAACTTTGCTAGTGTGCGTGCGCCTAGGAGCTGGTCCATACCTGCGCCAGCCTAACTATAAGCTTTATCAAAAATGAATGTTTTAAGTCTAGTCGAGGAGAGGGGTCTGATAACTCTACCTCCCATAGTATATTATTTGTAGCTTTTGTGACATGAGGTCCTGGCTTGTCTATCTATAAAATACTTGAATGTCACAGTTCAACACTAACTTCTGCTATAACTTTCCATCAGCAGCTCAGTTAATAACTCCTATTTGACTTCAACAACCATTAACATTCTAATGGCCCTTTAGCGGCCGGTCAGTGTTCAACTGAAGAATCTTTTCAGATTTAATGTTGTGTGAAATGTGAAATGTCTTCTTCCAAGTCCAGTTACCATTTGGATTAAATTTTAAATCTGATAAATGAGATTGTTTTAAACAAACAATATTATTCATCAATGTATTATTGTTTTGTTATGTCTCATAACTTTTTGAAACTTTTCAGGGCTTTACATCATTCTCTCATAAGAACTTCAAATGTGGAAAATCTGAATGCAAACTACTTGCAGGGTGGTTTGACTTCTTCAATAGACAGTCTTAGGCCTGAGCTCCTCCGGCAAGCCGATGTGGCAGCCTCGCTCAGAAGCATAATGTTCCCCTGAGAGACTTAGTGAGACACACTTTGAAAAGGTAGCCAGTCAGAGCAGACCTCGCTGGGCCCTTGTAGACAGGCTCTCGACTGTTTTTTGCCCGACACTGGGGCTCTGAGGGTTGGCTGCCGTTCTGTCCAGGCTGGCAGTCGGACTTAGAGGAGGTAGTTAATGCTATAGCTCATGAAGCCATAAAGGCAGATCACACTGCTGGCAGTGTCCACTGTCGGCCCTTTTAACTGAGTACACAGTAAGCTGCCTACTGTGATCACAAAGTACAGACACAGACTCATATGTGCATGTATCTTTAAACTCATTTTTACAATGAATAGAACATGATTTACAGCACTTCATGGAGCGAGGAGCAGCATGTTGTTTTCATAGCACAGGCCTCGAGAATGACTTCCCTGTGGTGGATGTGCTTGTGTTGGACTGTGGCTGTTTGAGTAGTGGGAGGAAATTGCAGTTTGTTGCTGCATGCGGCACCCAAAACACACATATTGAGCTGTGTGTCCTTCAAAGACCCGTCTTTACAGCTTCCCTTTGAATCAGCTTCCTACGGGAATATTCATTTAAAGTGAGAAGAGGAGCTATGTATAAGATGAAATACAGATATGTATGTGTGCTGGATAAAACACAATAAAAAAGGATTCAAGACACTCTCTCTTCCATATAAATACAAAAGTATTTGTGTAGCTAAAATGTCAAGAATGAATAGAAATTTGTAGTTCCCCGTTTAAAGCTCCTGTGAGGAAATTTTGGTCTACGACGATTTTGGTGCCCCATGTGGACAAAGTGGTAACTCTCATCTCTTTACTTATTATGAGCTGAACATGTGTAAGTAATGTTTTTGTGATGAAAATCAGAATTTAATAGTCAAATTAAACACCCTCTGCCAATCTTTACTGTGGAAAATGTAAAAGATGCTGTCTCCTGAGCGTGCTCTCAATCACTTCATCTGACACCTGCCTTGTGGCAGCAGTTTCTGGCATTAAAAATATCTTTTTAAAAATTGCCAGTCTTATCACTGATGACTAATTTAGAGGCATCAGTATTAATGTCTGTTTTTTCTAATAACCAGCTGAAATGTCCTCGCTGTAGCTTTAAGGACAAAAGTAATTTGAAAAAGGATGATTAAACTTTGCTCTCAAAGTGCTGTTTGGCCTTTAATTTAAATACTGCTGTTTATTAAGACCAACTCGCTGTTAGAAAAGATGACAATGTGTCACCAAATCAAGCAAGACTGACATCGGATAGATTTGTATCTAATCATAACTTCTGTGGGCTGGCTTACAAATGAGAGCTGAGTTGTGCTGTAGGTTGACATTTATGCTAAAACCAACAAAAAAGAATCAGAAATTGCTGAAACATAGATTTAGACCACCCAAACCTGTAAACCCTACTCAACCTAAGCTTAACAACAGCTCCAACAGCTTTAATCACTTTCTATTTTATGGAAGGATTTTAAATGTTCACTGAAAAAGCATTTTTATTTGCTTACAAGTGTTTTAGAATGACTGAAACCTCTTGCTCTTTAATACAACACTGATGGTTGTTATAAAACACTACCTATCTGAAGCTATGTCACTTTAGCTTCAGATAGGTAGCAAAAGCCATACACATGCGGTGACCAAAAGTGGCATGACAGCAAACAATTATGACTCATATTTTCAGTTGTTAATGCAAAAAGTACAACTTATACACCTCTTCATACCCAACTTTTTCTGACTCAGTTCAAAGTCTGTTTTAATGTCACAGAGAAACATGCCCCCGCTGCTTGGGAAAGGTGTATGAGTGATATAGTTCAGTGTTAATCTTGCACATTAATTGATCAGTGTTTTTGGAGCCAAAATGGTGTCTTTATCTTGTTGTTATGTAATCATTGTATAAGACCCTATGTAACATAGTGGTAAGTATTTGCACGTTATCCCAACATGGAACATCAAGGAGTAGGCTTGGCATGGTGTGAATAAAGCCAAGGCTCCAGATGTTTGGAGCCTGGTGTGTGAATGAAGCTTACAGTTTTTGATGGAATCAGTCTTTCTGAGTGTTGTAAGGTCACAATTTTGGTGAATTTAACCTGTTTATGTTTAATAGTTGTATGTGGACGCAATGGAATATTGTCCTGTATGGATTGTGCTGATGATATGGTACATTTTCAAATTAAACGATTGATATCTATTTGGAGACCATTGGACATGGTTTGTTGCTTCGAGCTGAACTCATGCCCAAAATCCGTCCATGCGAGTGCGGTGTGCCTCTTGTAAGCCTTTTGGCCTCATAACCTATTCTTAAATCCCATCCTCTGCCTTCTTTTTCCAGTTGTGGATCCAACACAAGATGATCCGTTGGTTTCTGTGATCCTGGTGAGTCTGCTGCCCCTCGTTGTGATGGGGATCATTGTCGTGGGGATGCTCTACTGGTACCGAGCCTATCGCCAACGCGTCCTCAGCCGAGAATGGGAGAGCAGCATCAAGAAACGCAAGCCAAAAGCAGGGCTGGACTGCAGCGACGCCTGTGCCATCATGATGGATGACGATAGGTCCGACACCAGCTCGACGCACGCCAACAGCCTGAATCACAACACTGAGCCGCTGCCTATAGACCTGGATCTGCTGGTAAAACAAACCTAGAGGTGTTTTGTAGAACAGCTCGTCTCCTAGACATCCTTCATCAAATCCTAACTTGGCTTTTTATCCTGTCACAGGTGGGAAAGGGTCGATTTGCTCAGGTGTACAAAGGTAAGCTGAAGCAGACCACGTCAGACCAGTTTGAAACAGTGGCTGTGAAGATCTTCCCCTGTGAGGAGTACGCCTCCTGGAAGAATGAGAAGGACATCTTCTCCAACACCGACCTCCGACATGAAAACGTCCTCCACTTCCTGACAGCAGAGGAGAGGAAAGTAGAGAAACAGTACTGGCTCATCACTGCCTTCCACCCTCGAGGAAACCTACAGGTGAGACCATCGCCACACCAGATGTACTTCACGATGCACTCAAATTTCTGCTCAGACTTTCTTTTCTATTTATATGTTTTAGTTTGAATCTTTCTTTAAATTCACCAATCATACACCTTTTCACAATGCTACAATTTCCATCATCCCTCTGCCCTCCAGGAGCACCTGACGCATAATGTGATCAGCTGGGAGGAGCTGCAGGTGCTGGCCAGCTCTTTGTCCCTGGGTGTCGCTCACCTTCACAGTGACCGCCTCCCCTGTGGACGGCCGAAGGTACAACAGAGTTTTTTGTGCACATGACACAGCAAGAAGAATGTGAACCAGTGCTAAAAATCTGTACCAACTTTGATAATCACATCACATCTTAAAGGAATTGACTCAATGTCCACTTGTTAACTAAAACCTAAAGAGTTTTAAATCCAGTATTTCTAATGTGCTTTAAGGTTGCCATAGTCCACCGAGACCTGAAGAGCTCAAACATCCTGGTGAAGAACGACCTGACGTGCTGCCTGTGTGACTTCGGGCTGGGACTCAGTCTGGACAGCAGCCTGTCGGTGGATGACCTCGCCAACAGTGGACAGGTCAGATCAGTGCCTCCTCTAATTTTGTATTTTATTTTTGTAGGATAAGCCCCTTGAGATGTACCAATCTCGTTTTCAAGGGGGTCCTAACAGAAGACAATTTACAACATGACAAAATGATGAAAATTGACAACAATTCAAAAGAGAAAGGAAAAGTACAGAAAAACAAATAATGATGAAAATTAATAGAAAAGAAAAGACAAAACTAAGTGGTTGCAATACACAAACAGACAACAAAATGCAACTCACCAAGACAAAGGAGAGAATATGAGCGGATCCAAATACTGACGATGACAGTATGTGTCTTAGCAAGGCCCTAAACTTTTACCTGCAGTCCTCTAGCTTGACCTGTATGCACAATGATCCTGAAGCCATTTTCAAATGTGCACTCCTAAAAATATGTAGACAATTTAAGGCGGGCTGCCATTCAAATCTTCCTAAGTTGCTTGTTCACACATCTATAGTCATCATGTAAATGAGACGGTTTCCAAGCAAAGAAACAAATCTAAAGCAAACAGAGCAATTCAAAGAATTAACAGTCACTGTCAACGGAGGCAGATGAGTTGCATGACAGCTTTTCTAACCTAGAAACAGTAACCGCTGGAGAAAACACGGGCGGTTGTGGGCGCTGCAAGGGCACGCGACACAGGTCCTTAACGGACTGTTTCTGTGGGTCAGAGGATGTGCACCATCGATCAATGTGGTCATTTAGAATGATGTTTGTCCTTTTGTGTAAAATAATGATGTCATTGTTAAAGATGTCATTTAAATGAAGGTCATTAGAAAGGACAGCTTTGACAGTGGATGCAAACCTAAGTACTACTGTTATCTGTTCAATGTGTTGCTACAAGCTGTAGGGTTTGTAGTAAGAGTGTGTTAGCTGCTGTTATGGTGACCTTCTGTGTTTGTTGCCATTACTTTGGTTTGATTTCTGCTGAGATATACCTGACCGTGTTTGTTTTGCCTTCCTCTCTGCGTCCCTCTGAGTGACAGGAGAAACCGGACAGGTGATCAAGGATGGAGGGAGGGGTAAAGGCTTTGTTGTGACATGCCCCTTCCTCAAAGTAGCGTTTAAATCGTTTTTATATCACTTCCTCTGTGAGTCATTGCTACACAGTCCTCTCTATGATTAATGATTCACTGGTGTTAAATGCAGCAGCGACGGGTGAGACAATGTTGACTCATCTGTTAAATAAACACCCGTGACCCCTCTGTCCACCTACACTTCCTGTACACTGAAATCCTTTGCACCTTTGCCACATCTGTGGCTTCATTTTATGCATTTATATGTTTAAAAAAATGATAAAGGTTGTGTTCCAATTTCAATTCCTAGATTCCTAGCTGGTAGGTTGTAATATGAAAACGTCTATGTGACTGTTTAGGAGGTTGTGCAGCCATTTTTTCTTTCTTTGAAAGAAGAAAACAGCAGATATTATTTCAGCAAGGTAACATAGCAAACTTGTGCCATAAAGATTGTGCAATGCAGAAAACCAAAAAGAGTTCCTTAAGAGTTATTAAAGTAGATATAAGTCAGATACTGACTTACGGTAAGGGCTAATTAGCATTAGCACCTGGCACTATTATGCTAATTATTACTAACTTATTACTAAAACATTACTATTTACAAGTTCCTGACACTGTTTCACATGATCACCTGTTGCCTGCTTGTCCAGCACCATGTATGTTAAGCATAGGGTGTACATACATTAGTGTTAACCACTCCTGGTCACTCTGTACTGCAGGTGGGCACAGCGCGTTACATGGCTCCAGAGGTGCTGGAGGCCCGGCTGAACCTGGAGAATATGGAGTCCTTCAAACAGACCGACATCTACTCCATGGCGCTGGTGCTTTGGGAGATGACATCAAGGTGTAAAGCTATCGGAGGTCAGTACACATTCTCGCACAACAGACAAAGATAAACATATTTTGTCATTGTTATTTTGGCGCTTTCGGGGGAATGAGTCACACACTTGAATTCCTCAATCTTGAAAACACGTTATGAGTTGAGGGTCGTCACAGTGTGCAGGTGCATAATGCATAGCCTTAACCATCATGGATGCCCCCTCTGCACAAGCTGGACTGTGCGTTTGACTTCCTGTTAGGAAATCAGAACTCATGTCCACTTCACCTCAGTCCATTCCACATTAACGCTGAATCTGGATCTGGTTCTGGTTTCCCGTGTGCATTGCACGAGTTTCAGCTAGCATCTGTGAATGCAGCGATAAACTGTATTCACAGTAAATAGTTTTGGAAGTGTTCTTGAGACCATACAGTGATGTCTACTACAGAACTGTGTTTGTTTTTAATGCAGGGCCCAAAGATCATGGCCATTCCAATGTTGCTTTTTGACCTTGACCCTGCATAGAGAGATTTTTTCAGATCCTCAGAATTGCTTATTGATGTAATGTACTTACACAAGTTTGCAATTTTATGTTTTATAACATTATTCTTTTTAAAGTGTTGCACAGTCTTATCATTTCACAGGCATATAATTTTCTGAAAACAATAACATTCAGCTCAGTTTTAACGTGTGACCTGTTGTCTTTGCACTATTTCCTATTAAATACGTTGTTTTTAATGTTTGTCACATACTGTTTGTTCCACATTTTATACAAAATCCCTTTTTTTCCCATTTGCACTTGGGGATCTGTGTATTAAAGTAATGATGAAGGTTAGTTATCGATATTCAAATTTGAAAAATCCATCAGCCTTTTGCACTTCAATAGGAATCTATATGACAACTTAAAGAGTCCATTGCTCAGAATTGTAAAATGTAAAGGAAAAACTTTCAAAGCAAGTTATGACAGACGCCCAGTCTAGACAGACATAGATTTAACAGGCAGCTCCGTATGCAAGATATAGAAACACATGATGTGGATTACACATCACTCCACTCCACTTAACCAGAACTAGTCAGCTTTACGCTTTTGACAGCAGAATGTTTGCATTACAAATCTGACTTTTTCTATCCTCAAAACCTAAAAGAAAATGTTATCGGATACTTCTTTTTACATTCTTTGCATGCTAATTATCTTAATTAAATCTGCATGCAGCTACTGCCAATGTGCCTTTATTGTGAGCTCATTTAACCCTGTGTATTTATGTGACCTACAGAGTGCAGACAGGAGGTTCAGGCTGGTGTTTTTGTTAAGTAGTGACGGTGGGTTTGAGTGTCAGTTGTGAGTCTGATGGTCATGTCAGTCAGACGGCAACTCGACCTCAGCTCCAGGTCTGCAGCCGGAATCTTAGGAATGTCTGATATGTGAGGGAGACAATCTCAACTCTGCTGTTGCCCTTCTTTGGGCAGGAAATCAGGGAGAGAGAGAGAGCAACAGTTGATACTGTACCTGTTTCAGTTGGCTCCACATGTGTCAGAGTGTGTATGAGTGATTGTGATATGTTCATGGAGCTCTCAATGTCCTCACAATAATAAGACAATAACAGCACAAAGGTCTTTAATCCTCAGGGGAAAGTTTGTTTGAGCGCCTGTAGAGTTTCATGTTGTCCATCTTAATGCACCTCAATCAAACACATCTTTGTGTTGCGTTCAGTGTTTGTGTTGCCTCAGATAGTAGTTCACTATAATTTGTATAAACATTATTTTGACCCATCAGGTGCAATATTAGGGTGTTTATCACACATACACAACCTCCTGAAAATCTCACAAATATTCAGGGTGAGCTGAGTGTGTGTATGTAAACGGGCATATTTGTCACCCAGACTTTTCTTGGCTTCTTTTTAGCCAAAGGCCGTTGTGTGTAAACTAGAACTGCGGCCCACAAGTGACATAGAGCTGAAGGCAGCCGACTGAGGCACTCTGTCGAAATGAGAGGGGCGCCATTCTCCCTGTTTCAAGTTATTGTACAATCAGATTGATTTGAAGTGACATTTTATCTTTAAACTGAATATCGCGGAAGCATAAGGCGCATCAGCTGAGTCAGCGGGGGAGCAAAGCGCAGCGCCGTGTGTACGTGTGTATGTGGAATCATTATAAATGTACAAAGACGTGATGACGGCTGAGCTTAGATACTGCATTTTTTGAGAATAACAGCAGTCTGAAAAGGGGCTACTGTAGCTTTAAAGGAACACACAGCTCTGGACTTTAAGTTCAGTCTGCTACGCTAATGTTGAAAATACTGAATAAAAAAGTTCAGATTGAACATGGATTTTTTTTTCTCTTGTAAGAACTGAAAGTGAAAGCCTTGCTAAATTGATACTATTAAGGTCTGTGATATTCTTTCTATAATAATGCAATATCTTGAATGGAGAAAAAAAATCCTCAATTTACGTCTGGATTCATCAGAATTTGCAATGACTTGGGTATCAAATGGGTTGATAAGATGGTCTCTCAACCCTAAAACAAAACTCTGGAGTGGACAAAAGGTTTCAGAAAAATTGCCCTCATTTGTGGAATTGAAACTAAAATTGGACCTCGCATAGACATTTGTACAGACACACATGGACACAAACTTTTCAGTTTCCTCCGGCCTACTCTCCTGGGAGTAGAAGGAGAGTCTGCTCCAACTCTTTCTCTCTGCCTGGTTATTTCTTTTCTGGACAGACTGAGACATTTAGAGCCAGACAGTCACATTCCAACACAAAGTGTTTGTTTATTTCAGAGAGAGGTAAATAGAAATAGAGGACGAGAAATGGACCTCAAAAACAGACGCCCTTCATCTAAGCTTTTGTCTATGTCTGAATCGGGGCTGTGTGTGTGTGTGTGTGTGTGTGTGTGTGTGTGTGTGGCTCCCCCCGCAACAACAGGGTGCAGAATAGATAGAAATACTACCCTGTGCTGGCGTTGTTGTTGTGGTCAGTTATAGTACATTCTCAGTGTGTGTCTCTGAGCATTTTATGTACGTGTCCTGAATTAGCCTGGAGGGCACGGCAGGTTCTGCCCCTTTCTGTCAGAGGCTCCAGAAGCAAGACGGTTTTTGGCAACAGCTGGCACGGGGGCGAGGGCTCTAAGTCTCTGAGGCAAAGGCTGAGAGACATTTTACATGTGAAAGAAATATTTGCATTTAGTGGAGGGAGCAAAAAGATGAGCTATTTAGCTTTAATGTATTAGAAAATGATAAGTGACATTAGCACGGATACCAACAGGGAAACCCAGAACAGACAGTATATGATACACACAATTACTGATTGTTTATCACACAAGTTTGAAGTACACAGCTTAAGGAGCGGAGTCACCCATGTTGCGATGAACAGTCTTTTAAACACCATCTGTCTTGAGTCTTTTTGGACTAAAATGGAAGTCAATTAATCTGATGCAGCACTGGTTGGTGTTTTCCCTCCTGTACTCTGAAAGCAAAATGAAAACAACCCGAGCTGCACTGATGTTAAACGTTCACAGCGCCAGCCACAAACCTGCAGCTGCAAGCCAACAACTCTCTCTGAAAGTGGTTGGATGCTTCGTCTGCATGGAGAGAAGGGGTTTTTATTTTGATTAGAGGGCGTGTTTCATTAGAGCTTATGCAGCGTTATTTCTTCTTATATGTTTTGTACCACAGCCATGTCGGATCAGTCTCATGTTATACGCCTGTGGAGAATCTAAGATCTTCTAAGACGCTGTGTTTCTTTCAAGATAGCAAATCCCAGACAGTGTAGGCAGCTACAGAGGTTTCTGCTAACCTCCAGGCCACAAGGGTTTCAGACAGATAATCTGAAAAGGAAACTGTCGTAAACTATACGCCTGTGGAGAATCTAAGATCTTCTAAGACGCTGTGTTTCTTTCAAGATAGCAAATCCCAGACAGTGTAGGCAGCTACAGAGGTTTCTGCTAACCTCCAGGCCACAAGGGTTTCAGACAGATAATCTGAAAAGGAAACTGTCGTAAACCACTCTCCGCCCCATGGATTGGATATACCAGGTTTTAACTACGAGCTCCAGACAGTGCAGGGAAAGTGAGACTGAGACTCTGGTTGCAGTCTCTTGTGAAAATCTGTTCTCAAACCACAGATGAAATTCTTGTCATAGCTTTCAAATGTCCAGAGTTGCTGTAGAGGGCGCAGGCTGGACTTCTCATATAGACGACTTCTCTGTAGTCCGAATATCAGTCGGAAACAAGAGGACAAGTGTAGGCCGCAGGAGCCAAGTCTGCATCAGAGCGTGAAATTAAACCTTTTCCACTTAGTTATTTCTTATGTTGAGGAGGTGCTCCACCTCTTTTTATTTCGGTTTTTGTAACTTTCCCCATTTTGGTTTTGCTCGCTTTTCACGGTTCTGTGTTGCAGCTGTACCCAGTCCAGGAAAATGTGTGGTATTTATATACCAGCTCCGCAGCAGGAGATCTAGACAGCAGAGAGCTGAGGACAATACCAGCCCCGACTGGCATAAATAACCTCCAGGGGAATGGGCTGGGCCTGGCTGGGTCCTGTTTTAAAATACCAAAAAACGAGGGAAGTTCCACATGTAAAAAACAGGAAGTGTGGGCCTGTAGAGTCAGCTGATCACAGCCCCCCACCCCCCCGCCCCCTCCCACCACCTTCCTGTTTGGGAGAGTCACTCCAACCTTCCTGCTTCCTGTGTTTGAGGACGCAGCGGTATAGACCATGGGGACCTGAAACTACTGCAGCTTTTCCTAGATTTCATCAGTCCTGCAAATTAGATAGATGTACTTCTCAGTTTTCCATTTTAGCCTTGGGTGGAAGAAAAAAAGGGTTGTAAATATGCACTTGATAGGTATATGCATACAGTAATAGGCTTTAACACACTCGAGGGGGGTTTCAGTAAAGATAGATTGCGGCTGCTAATAGCTCGAAGAATTGTGCATCCTCTATCTGCTCTGTGTCAAGGTCCACTTCACAAAGAATATTGCACTAATGACACTGAAATTGCCCTGCGCAGTTTGCTCTTGTTTCGCTTCTGATTGTGGAGTTGAGTTGCAGCATCTCCTCTGTGCAGAACTCAATGCTGTCCACATATAGATAATGAGCAGGAGAAATCTTATTGAGAAGTCGAGTCTTACAGATGTGATACAACTCTTTTTTTACAACAAAGCTTTCTCCCCGGATCGACAGCAAAAGCAGCTTGTCTGGATGGAACATTAACATACTCACCCTTCACAAGGACCCAGACGGTCTTCACACAAGTGGACAGAGTGTGTGGACGTGCCGGATGTGTACTGGATTTCTGATGTAACAATAGTAATGGCAGAGTAATATTAACTTAAGACTTTATTTACACATCATTTATCTTTAGATCATACAGAGGCTGAAGTGTGGCCCTGATCACTGGAAGGTTGCGTGTGAAAACCCTTACAAATACTGTGATGCAGTTACCACCAACTCTCAGCAGGTGGCGATAAAAACCGTTGTTTGTGAATTTGATGGTTTTTTTTTACGAGGTTCATTTTGCCAAAGGCAATCATTTAGCCCTAATTCAATACATAATGGCTCATTGAAATGTGCAAACAACACTCGTGCACAGAGACTAACTCTCTACCACATTTTGTGGTTGATATTAACCCTTTGCGTGCTCTTTGAGGATAAGGCGTCTGTCTCACTTGCACAGTTTATAAAGCTGAGCTATCCTTTTGTGAATCACACCCTTAATGTGCCATGTCCCAGTATGAGCTAAGTAATCAAAAACAACATATTTTGCAAGTTGCAAACCATTGGGCACACAAAAAGTTGAACCAACAGGGTTCCCCGTGCACGGCCAACCTACGTACTCAGGTGCAGGTCAGTTAGGGGAATATACAATCCTTCCAGACATTCCTATCTTATTTTACATTATATATCTTATTTCATATAAGCTTCATCTTTGCATATATGTTTTTTGATAGACTATGGTATGCATTATCTCATGTTGTTTTGATGCCTACGAAACAGAATATTCTATATTGTTTGGTCATGTGACCATATGTAGTTCACACGTGTGTATGCCCATGTAGTTATGCAGGGTGAACCTACAGACGCTAGAGGTGAGTTTTATAAAGACTTTTTAATTAGGTAAACTGTAAACACAGTTAGCCTTTTCGTTTATTGAGCCTATTTATCCTTTATTTACATCTAGGATGAGGATGAACTGATGTGTTACGTAACATTATCTCAGGTACAAAGATTGGCCAGAGCTGCTAACGACAGCTGTTTGGATGTGAGCAGCTCAACATGTTTAATTTTTATCTAAATGGCCAACAGGGTTCCCCGAGCACAGACTAAACACGTACAGAGGAGCATACTGTACCATGAAAAATAAATCAGAAGTCTGTGGCACACTGAAAATAAGTTAACTGTATTTTATTGTGAACACATTTCAGTTTAGTTTTATTTTTGGGGTGAGGTTGACTTTGAAATTCTTGATTCTGAAGCAAATGTTACTCTGACTTTTTCACTTTGTCAGGAACCTTTTCTGAATACTCCCCGTTACAACAGATATTAACTGAATGTCCAAAGAATGTTAGATGCTGCCAAATATATCACAAGCACACATGGGTGAAGAATAATCAGTGTTTGAACGGATGTGAAATACACAACGTTAAAATGGATGAAATCAAGAGAAAAAATAGTCGTAAAAAAAATAGTCGAAAGACAATTTTTTGTAAATATTTGAGTATCATGTTGTAGCTCGAACAGGAACAGAAAGAATACTTTGCAGTACTCATGTCTCATTTCGCAGCAACTGTGAGCTCCTGAGAGCGTTCACTTCTGGGCTGAAGACAGGCTGCAGCTGTTGTGAGTTCAGTTTCATGAGGTCTGGACTCAGTCCCAGAACTTTGTTTTTCATTTTTCATGATCTCGATGTTAGCCCCTCTCTTCTTCTCTTCTACCTCTTTAATAATCAATTTAGAGGGGGGGATAACATTGTGATTTGCGCGTTTTGTACGACCTGATGTTACACGTTATTGCTTGTAAGCGGAGGCTGATGGATGTTTAAAGAAGCATTCAAATTTTAGATGAAAGAGGGAACATTTTTCCTACTATGGAGACATTGTAGAAAACAATTTATTCCCCGCTGTCAGCATTGTTGATGCCAGAATTGAACACTGGGGTCGACAGGACACCTGTTTCACTTAGTCACCTCAACATTTTGATTAACCAAACCATGACATGTGAGCTTGTTTTTTGGATATTGTGAAATTAAACAAGCTAATCTACATTTTGCTGTGATCATGTCTTTACCGGGGAGTGTAGCAAATGACAACACCAGTGCTGGCAGCATGACATCAGGTGACGATTTGCAGTTCATATCTGAACTGTTGTGTGTTTGTGTGTGTGTTTTGCAGAGGTGAAGGACTACGAGCCTGCGTACGGCTCTAAAGTGCGAGAGCACCCCTGTGTGGAGAGCATGAAGGACAACGTGCTGAGAGACAGAGGCAGACCTGAGATCCCCGACAGCTGGCTCAGGCATCAGGTGAGACAAACACACTGAGCTGCTACACTGGAATCACATTCACATACTGACACACAGACACTCACTCTCGCATCGGTATGCACTGATAATGATAAAATACAAAAACTCTTTTGGTTTGTAGAAAAAAGTAACGGCTCTGAGGTCGGTCTCCCCCCTTCTCCTTTTACTGACTGACATGTTCTCATGACGTTCTTTAAACCAACCTCCAGCATGCTCCTCTCTCTAGACGCTCCGATGCTACCTGCCCTGTCTTGTGTCTGGGAGGTCTGGTCCAACACTCTTGTGTCTTTGAAGTCAGATGTAATGTGTTTCACAAGGTTACAGCAGATATTTTGGAGACAAAGTAACACTCCTAGCTGCAGGAATTTGGTAAAAACATTGTAACATCTCAAATCAGTGCATGAAACCAGACACAGCAATAATTATCAAATCTGGTAGAGCAACACAAATATACAAAACATAATGGTATGTAGCATGTGATCAAATAAAGGAACAGCAAAATGCATACTTCCTTCCTGTGACATGTCCGTGGTGTTCCTATGAGACACACCTGACCAGGATGATACAACGCTCCGTTGCACACAGATATGCACTAATTGAAGGATATAGTATTAAAGGGGGCTAAAATAATGTTGATTTTCTTGTTTGAAAATGACTTAAGATTGGTTAAAAAGCATCTAATAAGTCAATTGAGGGAGTGCCATTCAGTATATGCTCTTCTCCTCACTGTACAGGGTGTGGCAGTGGTCTGTGCCACCATCATGGAGTGCTGGGATCATGACCCCGAGGCCCGACTCACCGCCCACTGCGTCGCTGAACGCATCACAGAGTTGGAGGACGAGATGGACAAACTGTCCAACCGCAGCTCCTCAGAGGAGAAGATCCCCGACGAGCAGAAGATCCCGACGGACGTGGAGATCCCAGAGATGGTGAAAATCACAGAAATACAGGACATCATAGCCGTGGACTGCTCTGTCAGCGACGAGAAGTGAGAGGAAGCTCTGCGTACATGGATTTATCACCAAGGGCACTTATTTTACTTCTATGGGATTGAAGAGAGAAATCTCATCCGTGATTTCCAGGAGCTGAGCTCCTGAATCGCAGGGTTTTTAAGTTTTGGTTACAGTGTCATTTATTATTCTCACCCAGCAAAGAGGGTCTCTGGGTTTTGCTTGTGGACTTAATTGCTTCTATATTGTAACTACTTGCCTTAATCAGCTGAAAAGCTAAAGAGCCAAAAAGCCAAAGTTAACTGGAAGCTTCCAAAGATGTGCAGAGCATGGAGACAGTATTTTTTTTTAACAGTCAGACAGGCTTCTCTCTTGTTACGAGAAACAAAACAGGGCAATAACTGTTAAACCAAAGACATTGGATGTGCACTTTACCAAATGAGCATTACAGATATGAGTCTGTTTCTATTGTCATGTATTCTGACACGTTGGAGTCGAAGGGAGTTTTCTCCGAGAAGTGTCCTTATGTGTTTGACTTGAGCCAGCAGTGATGTGCCTAATGAAGCTGTGGGCTCTTTACCCAGCAACAGGAATCCAAAGGAAAATGTGTGTGTGTGTGTGTGTGTTTGTGTACGTGTGACAGTGTGTGTAAAAGGTGTGTTCAGACTAAAAGCGTTGTAGGTTTTTCATGGGGCACGATTACATACAGAGGAACTCACAAAAAAAACAGACAAATCCTGTTGAGTTGACACGAGGTCATGCTGCAATGTGACTAGAAAAAATTATCAGCCATGAGATTGTGCTGACAGAGACCCCCCCCGTCCTGTTTCACCAGCAGGGACAGAGTTGGCAGTAGATGAGTGTAAGCCAATAAACAAAACAAAAAAACAATATTCTGCAATCAATTTAAATTTTGCCTGTTTGCCAAAGAAAAAAAAAATGGTTTGGAAGGTCTGTTGGTTCTCTTTCAGTCGTTCTCTCAGAGACATCACTTTGTAAGCGTCACTGAGACTGTCTCTCCTTCCCGTCGTGATGTCAGGGCTAACGGTTGGACAGGAAGGAGATCCCTAAAAAAAAAAAACATGTATGAAACATGTTTGAGCATAAACAGGCTCCTGCCCATGTGAACAGAAAGCTGAGAACAACAAATCCAGGGGGAAGTTATTACTCCACAATATATTAAGATCGAGCATATTAGATTTCTGCATCTTCAGAATGTCCCATAATTGTTCCTTTAAACCTCATCAACTCTATACAGTTTGGGTTGTTGCAGTGTGACTTTACTGCACATAATGAAAGTTCAACCCATGGGAAACAGTAGATGGGCACTCCACAGCTGAACACGTGCAGTTAATGTTTATTTGAAAAATCCTGGTAATAAGCAGAGACTGACTTACCGAAAAGGACGTCAAATTGGTCAACCTTAAGTGGCTTATCCAGACACAGTTCTTGTGTAACAAAGCCAGTCATGACCATCTTGTAAGGGCCAAAGTGATTGGGTCGTGTTTCTCGATTCTGCAGTCAAACTCTCACAGGTGACATAAAGCAAACAACCTCTTCTCTTTTGGTCTGAACACAGTGAAGCGTGTGTTTTTTTATTACCCAGCTATACTTAAAAACCTTGTTTGCCAGAAAAGGCGAGCACAATGTAAATAAGACAATAACTGTAAATAAGAGAGAAATCAGCCAAAAAAGGGAAAGACTTCTTCCTCCTTGGTTTCTTTGAATTCAGAGATGAAAAGTCCTCATGGAGATGTATTATAAAGCCATTTTCTATGTTTTCTGTCTATATCAACAGGAGTGTGCCAAAGATATTATATCCTGCCTTCAATACGGTTTGTGTCATATGTAAAATAGTGTAAATCTTTTATGAATTAAAGATATTTCTGTATACTGAGGTTCTGTTTTCTGCTCATTTTGTGAGTCATCTTACCTATATGAGTAAAATGTGACATCACATCTTCAACTTCAGCTTTATTATTATCCCAAAGGAAATTAGATCTGCAGCAGGCATCAAGACACAAATGGATACACATAAAACAGCATCAGCGATATTAACACTGTCACTGCAAACACTACCCTGGGATCATAGCTTGTGTAGGGCTTGCAGGCGTCTGCTGCCTGGGGCATAATTGGTTGCGGCTGCCAACTAAGATAAGGGAGACAAACCTTACCTGCTGCAGCCTTGCTTCACCAGCGCGATACGTCGTTCTCTGGATCAGCTCGGTTCCAACGCGTTCTTCTCCGAGTCGGATGACAGTTCAGTATTATGGCATAAACACACGACAGACTTTGTTGCAAAGAAAACGGGGAAGTCATAAACAGTCTCTCGTCCAATCTTCCATGAAGCATCTCACAGCCCCAAACATTTGTTCTCCTTTGAGAAACCTGCCCGCTTCAGCTACTCAAAAGAGTGGCACCCCAGCAATTGGCTGTACGACCAGGCAGGGAGGCCCACCCGCTCTCTAGTTTGACATCCATGCAATACAACATATCAAGGACAGTGTTGCTGTAACAACACAGACACACGTAAATTTCACAGGTGAAGTGGAAAAACAAAGGACCAGTTTGGACACAGCACAGAAAAGAGTGTTAAGTCGAATAATGTGCTGTTCACTAAAGGTAAAATAAATAGTTAAGAAAAGAGAAGAATAAGTAATCAATAAATAATCAAGGTGCACATTCTTAAAGGGGACATATTGTAAAAAATCCACTTTTAGTGTTTTTGAACATATATTTGGGTAACCTGTGTGTCTACCAACCCACAACATGTGGAATAAACCCATCCAGTACTTTGTTTGTGGTGTGCATAAGTCTTACGACAAAAAAAATACCCTCCCCTCCCCTGATTTCTCCAAGATGTTGCACACCTTCAACGAGGTCATCTTCCTTGAACACAATCGCAACGGGACCTTTTTACAAACAGCATCATTCAACATAATGACTCACATCATCTTTTGCATTTCATAAAAATCTCTGAACTTAACGGTTAATTTAAAGACTGGGGACAAGTACTTTCTCTTTGCCCCCTGCATGCTATTCTTGAAAATGTGCTTGGATACCATGTACAAGCAGAAGAATGAGCCAAATACTCCCCTGTCGACTCGTCCTCAAAAAGAATTCAGGCACTGTAGTCTATGCATTTTAATGTATTAATTTATTAAGGACAGTGCACATTAATCAGCATATCAGCAATAAGCATCGATGGAAATATGCCCGAATTAGCTCAGAAGCTACAATTCATCCATAGTCCTAAGTACAAACCCTCACAGGACAGTCTACCGGACAGCCCATAAAGGAACGCACAGAAAGTTTTAATTACAAAATAGACACATTTGTTACATAATAAGAAATAACAGACACACATACACCTAACCAAGTAAATATGCAAGAACCCCCTTTGAACGGGGCCCATGAGTTCAGACCCATATATTATATATTAGTATTGTTTGTTTGTTTTATTTGGATCTCCATTAGCTTCAGCATAGCGAGAAGCTATTCTTCCTGGGGTCTGCAGTTTATATTGTGACAATACATTTTACATTTTACAATTTTCATATTATATATTATTCTTTTCACACTACACAAACATTCCACAGCATTTCTTCAATAACTAAAAATAATAGACAATTTACATAAATGAACAAAAAAACCCATGGAAACAGACAAACACAAAGGCTCCGTCTGATTTACAGCGTCTAAGACATAACATGGTTACACACAAAAAGGCCCAGTAGTCCTATCAGCACTGACTAAAGTTTCTCCGTAGATAATGTTCTTAAAGACTTCTTTTTAAACTGTATAAAGTGCTTTGGTGTTTAACATTACTTGAGAGTGAATTCCATTCCAGCATTGTTCTGTATGTTACTGAACGTTGAGACGCTGATGTTCTTAATTTAGGAAGAGTAAAACAACCTCCCACAGCATGCCTTGCTGGATAATGGTGTGTGTCTGTACTGAAAGATAATCTTCTGTACAAGTTAAAAGGAGTTTTTGTTGTTATCATGTTCCGTAAAAAAAACATGAGTGAATATAATAATCTGTGTTTAACTTCCAACCAAGAGAGGCGTTCATACATCTTACTGACATTTGATCTGAAAGTAGATGACTGGTTCAATATTTGAGTTTTCTTTCAAAGGATCACAATCCCTGATATCCACTGATAACTTCTTCAAGAACTATAACAGACACCCCTTTTTGACTGAAGTCAGTTCTACGCTGGGTTTCTCCACAAGGTCAATGAAGATCTGACCATAGTAACTTTGTCTGAAGTGTATCTGATGTTCATCCCTTTGGATAAACGCGTCTAATTGTAGAATTGTTGCTGGATCATTGATCAACTTTGAGCTGACAGTGAGGACAGGTCAGGAAATCTCATCCCAATGTTAAGGTGCTTTTCACATGCAAGACAACATTGGCTGCAAAAAGAATTGGAGAATGCCCAAAACTTTCTGATGTGAATTGACAGCAAGGTAACTTTCTACCACCTGTTTGGCTCCGCCTTCAAAACACATCATACATTTACAAACACAAAAAAAACGGTCTATGGAACGCTCCTTTAGTTCAACAAACCCCCAAAACATACAGCCACTAACCTGCACAGTGTGTGTGTGTGTGTGTGTGTGTGTCTGTGTGTCTGTGTGTGTGTGTGTGTGTGTGTGTGTGTGTGTGTGTGTGGTGCAGACATATCTCTGCGGACCAGAGTTTATACCAGAGAAATATAATGACAGGCCTGCTGAGCCCATGAACCATGTTACAGGGAACAGAGGGTACCACATCACATGTTCTCTCTCTCTCTCACACACACACACACACACACACACACACACACACACACACACACACACACACACACACACACACACACACACACACACACACACACACGCACACAGAGTGCTGGCTCTCTTTTGTTCTTTCCATCTTACAGCTCAGTTCTCCTCCTCAGGTCTTTGTTGGTGTATTCCTGGCACCACTGACTCTCCTCAGGGGCAAACATCCCGTGTCCAGAATTAACTCCTGGCCTGTTTCCCTTTCTTTTATAGGCCACAGTGTTTTGTATATAATCCAGAGGCCTCTCCCGGCCTACTCTCTCTCCGGTAAAAAACCACCAGCCTGGATCAGACTTCCTCTCACTGTCACTGTTTCTGCAGATTGTTTCCAGGTGTAGTGCACCTGCCCGTCACAGATGGTGGATATGGGATTACATCCTCATTTTTCCACCACAAGTGTTTAGCCCATGAAGCAAAAGGGGAAACAAAACAATGACTTCACATCCAAGATAGAGTTTTGTGTTTCCCTTCAGGTTGTAATCACAGGAAAAATGACCACACTGTTTTATTTGACTGCAGTCTGTGTGAAAACAAATGTTCTCTGTCCTTAAATAATTTTCCATTGAGCTAACAAAACCTCATGATGCCTGCTATAATGAAAGACAGAACATGTCTGCCCTCTTGTGGACAAAACCCAACTAACACTCTGCCTTACTGAAAGGTCGCTTTTTGTTCCTCTGTCCAAAAGCAGAGTGCTGTGATGGGGTTGACATCAATGGTGCCACTTTTTTTTTTATTACAGCTCTTGTCAAAGTGTGTCCTACATTTCCAACCAGTCTGGAGCTATCTGAAACATATTCTACCTGCCTCTATATTTCATCATGTCACAGTATCCCTCAGTGGTCACAGTGATGAAAGACCACCTGTGTGATGCTGGGATGCTGCTGAATCTAAAACTGGGGGATCTGGCAGCACTCAGGGCCAGGCTCACTCTGAGCCAGATATACCAGAAGAGAGTCAGAGCCACACACACACACACACACACACACACACACACAGAGTCCAAAGTCTGTCATTCTCCAGTCTACTGAATAGTCAGGTCACCTGACCAAGAGTGTGTCGGGACAGCCTCATTACATACACAACACACAATGCAGGAAACCCCCTCTTCCTGCATGCAGAGGATCAGATCTCCCTGCTGCCTCTCTTTTGATACGTTAACAGTTACACAGATCTCATTAGATCCATTATTCAAACCAAACTTTTCTTCGACACATGATTGATGTTTTCAGTTTGCACCTACTTTTGATTAACACAAAAAGATGGTGCCTTACTATTTAGCTATGTTTGAGGTCTCTGGTTGTGCTAAAACAGAATAGAGTCACATATTATTTATCTCTCTTTGTGTAAAGTATCTTTTTGGACAACTCAAGAAGTGTTTCACTGAATTTTACAAATCATTCTGGCATCACCATAGACATTCTCTGTATGTACCTCAAAATGACCACTAGAGGTCACTATCCACAAACATAATCCCTCTTTCAGTTTAAAACTTTCATCTTTATTGTCCCTGAGGGGAAATTTGATTTGCAGCCAGGTGAAAACAATATAAAACAAACATTTAGAAACTCAGACACACAGACTCAGAAAATAGAAACAACATACACATTCATCAGCTAACAACAGGAAACTTAGAATGTATGAAAACGTCCATAAAACCATCATCAATCATTTTTGGGAATCATTTTTGAACCTGTTGGACTCAGAAGATCAAACTCACCAAACAGAGGATGTCGGGGACACTGTAAGATGTCTCGAGCCTTTAGCTGCAGCTCTCTTTCTGAAGGTGAGAGACAGATCAGCTAATTCAACCCCAATGATTTAACTGGCAACTTCAATAATTTGTTGAAAACTGATTTTGTGTCCTATTGAGAGATTACCAAACGGGGTGATAAAGCAGAATGTGAGAAAAGACTCCACTATGGAGTTATCTACAAAGGAAAGTGATTTGGGTTCTTATACATCAGTCGGCACATTTTAGATCATATATTTTTGTGAACACTTAAAGTGAACCTAGTGCCATGTAAGTAATCTAGTCCTTGCCCTCAGTCTGTCTGTATTGTGAT